ACAACCATCATAATTATTTATTTATTTTTATCAAATATGAATTAGAAAAATTAGACTAAGTTCTGAAGTATAGTTCTCGTGATAGCGATATCCAAATTCAAATGTTTACTATATTATTTGTTATGATATTTTACACTTGCAATATAAAAAAGACACATTCATAAAATAAAATATTTTACACACAAATCAATAAATTTTTCTTACTTTTTAACCGCACATTCTCTATCAATCTATTATTCAATAATACTTTACAAATAATTAATGGCCCTCAAACAGGGCCTAAAAAAAAAAAAAATTAACCAATTATAATAATTGAATGTCAATAACACATGGATTGACATTCAAGTCAACGACAAAATGTATAGTTGAATAGTAATTTTTGAAGAATGTATGATTAAAAATAAAAATAAAAAGTTGTCAATTTACGTGTAATATTTTTTTCTCAAAAATATGATTGAAAATGAGTTTTGAAAAAATGAATTTTTGATAAAATTGGGTCAAACTAGGACTTGACAACTTACATGTACCTTTTATTATGAAAAAATTAAGTTCCTTGCGGCATGTCATTCATTATGGGCTTGTTTGGGAATGATTAAAATCCAATTAAAATTGAAAATATAACCGTTATTGGGTCTCACTCGTCTAATAAAAGTCAACACTAACAGCTATATTTTCAATTTTAATCTGATTTTAATCCATCCCAAACAGTCTCTATATATTCTGCCGAGTCCCATTTTTTTAAATAAAAAATATGCATTATTGAATAGTACACATTTTTTAATAAAAAAATATTACACGCAAACCAAAAATTTTCCTTAATTTTTAACCACACATTTTCTATCAATACAGTATTCAATTTTTATTTTTATTTTTTGCCAAAAATGGTACCCAAACAAGCCCCCAGCAATTTTCCGACAAGATGACAACTTGGCAACTTAAATTTCCCAACTACTTCTACCTGAAATTTGATCTCATAAATATGCACATCATTTCATCAATATACGATCGTGGTTGACTGATAACTTGTGTCTAAAAATTTAAACTCACACTCATAATAGGCTAATTATATTTAAAAGCCAAATCATTGTCTGCTTCTAATTGATTCCCAATTGTTTCATTTGGTGACCCTCTCTCCCTCGACTAGGGAGAAAGAGGCTTCACAAAAAAAATAGGGAGAGAGAGAAGATAGAGAAGGCATAGTTTTAGCACCTATTTCAGCCCATTTTCGATTAAGAATTCTAGATTGATGAAGAACGTGTTGTTAAAAAAAAAGTTCTGAATTTGCGTATAATATTATTTTATTGAAAAATGTATGGTTGAAAAGAAAAGAAAAGAGAAAAAAATATATTTTAAAAATAATGAGAATCAAATAAGGGCTTAATGTATATAATTTAAAATGAAAAATTAAATGTCGTTATAAATGTGCCAACTAAATTAGTTTAAATTCCTCTAGGGTGCCAATCGTTTTTTGTACGACGTCTATGTCTCCCAACATCTAGTTTGTGCCATTCCATACACCTAATCATCTAACCTTGTGAATCCAGTGTCATGGCTCGACTGAAAACATCTAAGTAGCGGGTGAAAGTAATGCGATAAGGCAAAAGCTAGTTGTACCAAATGTTTTACCAAATATTTTACATAATTGACACATGGTGGCCATCAATTGGAGGAAAACCTGTGGGCCCAGGCGCCCCTCCAATTGATGGCCATCATGTGCCAATTATGTAAAACATTTGGTAAAATGTTTGGTACATGTAGCATCTCTCAATGCGATAAGCACGCGATAAATGTCTAGTGGGCATCTTATTTACTTATGAGCAAATAGAGAGGTCTTTGAAAAAAAAAATGGCTCTTCAATAACTCTCATCTTTGGATCTAGGTTGTTTAAGGGATCGAACGATCTTCTCTTTGCAGGAACAACAAAAACCATGGTTTTTTACCTTAAAAAAACAAGTATTCAAAGTGGAACGATTATTTGTGGACAATTATACTCATTAGTCATACATCACGTGCCTATCACGTGATCTATTACCGTTTATTTAGACGTTTCTCGTTGAGTTGGAACAACTTACGCACAATATTAAAAGGTTGGAGACATAAGAAGGTGAGAGGAAAGGTTGGTGTAACATAAATATCATACTCAAAGGTCGGGACCCATGGAGAAATTTACCCACTAAATTAATTACTTTATCACCATCCCTATTCATGACAAGCAACCTTTTTCCCCTTTTTGGTGTGTGAACAGGTAATGGTAGGTTTTGACCGCAAACTTTTACCATGTTGAATCAAGGATCTAAAAATTTATAAGTAAATAAATGTACCTTTTCCAAACTATGACTTAAGATAAGTCATGCATAGAGAGCCAAAGGCCGAAAAGCTTCGACCTTCTTTTGAGGCACCAGTGACTTAACAACATTGCTCAGATAACCAGTTGGACTGAATCTTTAGATCCCTACAAGTTTCCCCAAACTCGTCCAGGGGGCTCCTTGGTGTGCGAGTTGATTATGGTGCTCCTGAAGCATTCGGGTAAAGAGACTCTAGGAAGAATCTATTCTAACTCGATAAAAATGATGCTATCGATGAATCTCTTGACATTCTATAAGAATCAACTAGCTTCGAAATTGTGTTCACCTTGTATTCGGTTTCTCACTAAATCAGAGGTGGTTTTTTCGGAAAAAAAAAATTGCAAGCTTTGAACTGGAAAACAATTATCAGAAGTCGTCAAAACCAGAAACTAATCTCCAACAATAAGAACTCATTTAAGATCCTCTCATCTCAAACAAATTTCGACACTGGCATATGATGCAAATTCCACGCATTCCTCTCTTCCTTAGTCATGTCGAATCTTGTCCATACTAGGGTATCAAAAATGCCCGTAAATGTCATTTGATCTTTCAAAGTCTATACCCAATAATTACTTCACCAAAAAACAAAAAAATGGTTCTGACCTTCTGGGAAATAATTTATCCTACATTCTCTCATCTTGATATATAAAAAGTGACTAACTAGCATAATAATTATAAATAATGGACTGTAGAAGAATATGATGTATTTCTACAATCACTTTCAAACACTGTTCACGTTAGTAAAACATCCATGTTTCAGACAACAGATACCAGCTTTAACAGAGCATTATAGCTTTCTCATTTACAAAACACCTTTGAAATGCAGAGAAACAATATAGTTACTACGTCGGCAACAAACTAAACGTTGATGCTAATAGATTTCTAGTTGGCATTCGAACAATAAGAATGCACCAAGAAAATCATCAAAATTCCAACCGACCATTTGTGTTGAAGCTAGACTGAATTTTCTAATTATTTTCATAATAAACATAGCACTTTCTCTGGTAGTGACCAATTTTAAATTAAGCATGAAGACGAAGTTAGTTTGCGTATATCACGATAACATTTTCATATCAACTTCATTAACCACAAGGTGAAAGCCTCTATTGTACAAGGTCAAATCAGGCAGGAAAACTTAGCAAACCAAATTTGAATCTAATGAACCGGTTAACAAGAACATGTGCATTGTCAACCTGTCCTAAGTCAAAAACTTCCTTAAATTAATTGATTCCTACTTTGAGAAAACAAACAAAGACTTAGGAGACCTATCATTGTCTATGATTTTTCATTAAACCTAGGCATAGGGTATTATTTATGTATGACATGCAGAGAGGTACTGTATGTAACTGATAAAAAAAAAAGGGATGTAACGAATTTAATAAATTGATAATAATGATCATATGGATGCACCAAGGGAAAATGTCCAATAATCTCTCATTCCAATATCACTCTTGGTCCCAAATCAAAGAGATAAAGGAGCCAATTGTTCAACATTTGTCTGATCCAACATGAGTTTCGCCAAAAATACAGAGAGACAGAATGGAATCTATAATAATTTCACAGAATTGTAATGATAATGCATAGCGAAAAGGGATGACAAAGTACCATTGCCAATATTAGGTAAACTAGGGAATGAGAATTCGCCGAGGGATACTTCCTGCACCCACAGACACATTGCTTATTGGAGTCGATCCCAAAGGTTGCTCCCATACTTTGATGCTCTTAAATAGAGGTTCAGGCGACAATGAAACATATGGTGTGACTACTCACGAATCGTTGGAGCTATCGCAAATAAAGTATGCATTGATCACACCATTTGGACTGTCTGGAATAGACTTGTGTTTCTTCTTGTCGCATTGCTTTTGGCCATGATCATCAATTATGTCCAGGATAAGTTCATGGCAATCATCAATCCTTTCCTGTTGTGATTAATAATGAAAAGTGGAACTTTAAACTGACGTATAGGAAATGTTTAGATCAAATATATAAACCTAAGATAAGTTAACAAGGATGGATTAGAAATGGAAAGGCAGACCTTGCTGATTTTGAGCACACTCATAAGCTGATTTTTGCATTCCTGTGCATCAGTATGGTCAATATCTCTAATGATAAATATCATCGTTGCAGCTGCAACAACAGATGGAAGGCAACCCAAAACCCTATAATCTGCATTCAGTGTACAAAATTAACAGGATTTCGAAACGAACCACTGCAAATCATAAAAAAGTAACTTGCACAAAAAAATTTGAAACCAAAACTAATGATCTCCATACCAGTGATAATAGAGAGGAGGAGGCTCTCACACCTACTCAAGAACTGAGAATGTGGGTCATTCATGAATCCAAATCTCCTGACAATGTGGTCAAAGAATGAGATTGGGGTAACAGGATTCATCTTCCAGTGAAGAGTGGATAGCACCAAAAGTTCCATTCTCTGAATAGTCTTCGCCTCAAAGAAATACTTTGATTCTTCCACCTAAAACACCCCCAAACCCAATCATGAAACAAAAGAAATCCCCGAAAATCTGTCATATAATTTCACTCTGGTATTTATACAAACACTTAAATTGCACCATACAGAAATTTATACATAAAGAAACTTACTTGAAGATCTAATAGAAGAGGCACCTGAGTTTCCTCCACCTTTGCAGCTATTGAAAGACAGGTCACAGCAGCTAATTGACTCATCCATGGCTTATCCTTCTGAAAGCAAAAGCTCGTAACAAATCTATCATAATAATTAACAGCCAAAACAGCAGTCAAAGCAGTAAATCCATAGTGCCGAGTAACCTTTAGAATCCATTTAATAGCCTCCTTTCTAACAATTACTAAAGACCCATCTGAATTTATTTCCTCATAAATCAAGCGGCTCTGTTTTTCGTTATACAAAAGGTTCACAAGTTCATCATCTTCCCAGAAAAGGTCATGTTCAAAGAAGAAGGGCAAGGGCTTTTCATAAATCTCATGGAAATCATTAGTTTTAAGTTCTTGGAAGCCAAACCCAACATCCAAATCTTCCTCAAAACGCTCTTCTGCACAACAAAGGGCATCAAAAATCGGACATTGGAGAAGGGATTCTTGTTTTTGGGAAAGAGAAACCATCCTCTTCTACTAAGTAGAAGACACAGAACCCTTTGCTCATTATCTATAAGGGATGAAACTAAAGCTCAAAAGACTCAATCTTGGGCTCAGTATCATATCTGCATTTTTTCTATTTTCCTTTTTTTTGCCCCTCTCTCTGTGCCTATGGAACTGAAAAGAAAGAGGAATGCAGGGGTGGGGAGGGTGTTAACGAAAGAGGTAAGCAGACGAATGGTCCTCAACATTTGCCTGAATAACAAGTGAGTCTTCCATCTTTAAAAAGATCATTTTGGTCCTCAGGATTTTGTTATGGTTACACGATCAGTTCCTACACAAACAGAAATAGTCCAAATTTCTAAAGACGGTCGACCGACCCAAGTTGTTAAGTAAAACCTAATTTCATACTATTGATTGAAATTGCATGGAAATTTAACATAGATTTGGATATTAGGGATTGATAGTGAAAAAAATTATATTAAAAGTTTGAGGACTAATTTGGTATGAATGCAAAAGATTGGAGACTAATGATGAAATTATCTCTTTCTTCTGAGAATATTTTCACGCCTGTCCTTTTCAACTTTCTTTTTCTCTGATTTTCTTTTGATCAATTTTGTTTTATTTGAAAAGATTTTTACTTATTTTGGGCATTTTGGAGCTAGGAAAAAAATTGGTATTTATTTATGACCCATATGTACCCAAAAAGGGAATAATTGCAGAAAATCTCCAAATTTGTGAAAAATTAGCAGGCTTTCTTCACATCTTTGATTTGTTGTAATCGTCATCCTAACCTTTCTTATGTTACAGGTGAAGTTTTTTTGGACAGTTTTCAACTATAATTATGTGACAAAAACTTTAACTTTAACTACACTTTTAATATTTTAAGAAGGGGCAAAAGAGTAACTTTTCATTTATCATATTAAATAATTAAATAAAAAAATAAGAAGTAAAAAAAAATGCGCACACACACAATCATCTTTTTCCTCTCAACCCTCACCTACCTCCACCTCAAATCCAAAATATACATTGACCACCGCCACCTCTACCTCCACATTCACCTCAAACCCAAATACTCAATTAGAAAAAAGAAAGAAAGAAAAATCAAGAATTTGATTTTAACTTTCCAATGTCGTCGAGACCAAGTGTCAGCATTACCCGTACAAAAGTAGACCTTTCACCTTCCTATTTTGCTTGAAGAAATGGCTAGTTCATCTTCTTCTTGTCCAAAGAAACTTACCAAGTGCCCAGAAAATCAGAAAATAAAAATCAATCAAGAATTTCTAATTATAACAACATGCAGAAAGAATGCAGAATCCATGTCCTCAAAAAGATTTATGGGAAGCAAGAGTCCACAACAAATTCAAAAACAAAGCCAAAGATCAACTGACAAACCTACAATTCCAAGACGGGATCTGCAATTCTATCAGTAGCAATGCATAGCGATTGAAAAGTTTTAATGGAAGAAAATCCTCAAAAACACATTCACAAAATTGCTGAAAACTCATATAGCAAATTTGTTATATCCACCAAATGAGCAATTAAACAACCAAATCTTATATTTCGAATTTGTCCCAACAACCATAAAAAACAATTAACTAAAAATCAAATCCAAAAAATCCAAAAATAAGTGGAAGCTTTTGGTGGAAATTATGAAAACCCACTTCTCAATTTTTTTGACTGTAATGGTTGAAGAGGTCTCAGAGGTGGTAGGTGTGGATTTTGAGTTTGAGGTGAGGGTGGGTGAGAGGTGAAAGGAAGAAGGCGATTGTGTGTGTGTGTGTGTTTTTTTTCCTTATTTTTTTAATTTAATTATTTAATGTGATAAATGAAAAGTTACTCTTTTGCCCCCTTTTAAAATATTAAAAATGCGGTCAACGTAAAATTTTTGGTCAACTGACAGAATTATGAATGGAAATTGTCCAAAAGGGTTTCACCTGCAACATTTGGAAATGTTAGAGGTGACGGCTGCAACAAATCAAATGTTTAGAAAAAGTCTGCTAATATTTCAAATATTTGGAGCTTTTACTGCAATTATCCAAAAATAAAAAAATAAAAAAAATTGACATAAGTATGTGCTTATGTAGGATGAAGATCACAAGTACTGCCGTACTGGTATAACAAATTGTAAATGGATCACAAAACAACATTTCTTTAAAAGTTGGCAGTAAAATTAAGTAAGAGAGACTTGATAGAACTTGTGAACATGCAATGAGTCGATTCAATCTAATGTACAACACCTGTCACGAAGTCTAATCATTTCTCTATAAAAGTTTATAGATTCTAAATGGAATACATTTTGAACATATTTTTCCATTAAATAAATTAAATCGATAACAGGGACTTATTATTGTCAATTACAATTTCTATCCTTCATTTTTGAGTGAGTACAAAAACATGAAGGGACAATTCTATCATTTTACACGCCTACATAATTCAAATAGTCACTGACATTTGTCGATAAGGACAGTGACCAAGGGATCTATTGCATAGCCAACAATTGGAATTTTTATTATAATGGGGGCGAGAATGCCTCCCAAACAGGGGCTAAGATACATTTTAATATGTTAAGAAATATATGATTATTTTGTTTTTATTATTTATTAAGGGTAGAAAAGTCTTTTAAATTTCTTTTATTTTAGACTATATATAGTCTATTTGTATTTAGGTTTCCATTACTCAATTACATTATGCAGAATCAAGAAAACAATAGCCTCTTTTTCTTTTTATCTTTGGATTTAATATNCTCCAAATGTGAGAACCCTACGTTGGGTTCTCCCGCCGCGGGCAGGAGAACGAGACTGATAAAAGTTTATAGATTCTAAATGGAATACATTTTGAACATACTTTTCCATTAAATAAAGTAAATCGATAACAGGGACTTATTATTGTCAATTACAATTTCTATCCTTCATTTTTGAGTGAGTACAAAAACATGAAGGGACAATTCTATCATTTTACATGCCTACATAATTCAAATAGTCACTGACATTTGTCGATAAGGACAGTGACCAAGGAATCTATTGCATAGCCAACAATTGGAATTTTTATTATAATGGGGGCGAGAATGCCTCCCAAACAGGGGCTAAGATACATTTTAATATGTTAAAAAATATATGATTATTTTATTTTTATTATTTATTAAGG